GCGAGGTGGCTTGGCCTCCTTTGCCCTTGCATGCCATGCTTGTCGTTTGGGTGTGTGTCGAAGTACAAAATGTTGATTGTCCTGTTTGTTGCCCTCTTAAACAAGGAAAAAATACGCACACAAAGAACAAAGCGAGCGCTACACATCCTCAATCGTCTTTCATGATTCACTGGGCATCGAAATCGTACTAAGTGAGTCAGAATCAAACCGGCATTCAAATGGTCTACCCTCCCCCAGGCTAACGTGGAAGCTCCCAGGACCCCTTTGGAAGACTTGGCTCCACAAACAGAGAGAGGCCTTCTGGGAGCTTCCGGCTGTTAGTCTGAGGGAGCGTACCCAGAACCCATGGAGAATTTCTGGCTGGGCAGAAAATTCTTCAGAATTGTCTGTTTATCCAGTGGCTCTTCTCCTCCGATTCGCGCGCCCATCGTCCCAACACGGGCGCGCTTTCGGTCCGAAGGCCAAGCCGGGGTGGGACTTGGGTGATTTTGTTTGCCCTTCGGGGAGGGAAAACCAAAAATAACCCGCCGAGTGTGTCTCGGGGGGAGCTTGCAAAATTTTGGTAACCCAGCTTGCAGCCCCGGAACCTGAAAGAATCCGTGGGGACCAGAGGAATCCGGTAAGTACCCGGGTCCTTTTGCTTCGGTTGCTGAGATCCGTAAGGACCCTCCAACGGCCGCGCGAGGCTCGGTGCGGCCGTTGGAAGCTGGTTCCATGAAGCCCGGATGGGGTCCATGTCACAAAGACTTCCCAGAAACCCACAGCGACGAGCCGAACGAAAGGAGCACGAGGGAGCCCAGGGCCAAAAGCCCGGATGGGTCTGAAGGTGAGCCCAGGCGCCCAGGCTGTCTCGGTTCAAAGGAACTCCCAACCCTTCCCCCAAAAGCGCCCCCGAAACCACCGAACCTTTCACATGGGTGTGGCTCAAGAGCCATTTTGGCACACTTTTCTGAGCCACAGCCACATGGCCGTTTTTCACGACCGCGGGGCTTCGCCTCCCAACCCGACGCCCTGGCGCCTTGAAGTCCTTGAGCGCCTCGTCGGCCTTGCCATCGATGAAGTCCAGCAGGTCCTCGATGCTCCGCGTCTCCGCCGCCTGGTTTTCCGGCTTGCCCCCCGTTTTCAGAGACGCCCAGAGAGACATGTATCTAGGTCCTCCAGTAGAGAGGTTAGAATAAGGGTACCCGATTTAATTTTTAGTATAGGGGAACCCTCCCCCAGAAAAGGGGAGAGAAGGGCACGATCCTGGGGGACCTAGTGTATGGTTCTGAACATGGGGCTTTGGGCGTGGCTTCGGCGCTTTCCTGTCTTAAAGTGATGGGACCCCCAAAAGAATGGGATTTCGTTGCATTCCTTTTGGTCGCCATTTTCCACCCACCCGAAAGTGGTACCAAAGACCCCCGAAGCGGCCACACAGAACGCAACCCCGAGGGCGATTCAGCCTGGACCTGGTTTAACCAAGGGCTTTAAACTTCAGCTCCGTCGAAAACAAAATTTGGGGGAACCCATCTTTCCAGAGAGGAAAATCACGGTGCCGGGGATGCAGGGGATGCCGGGGATGCAGGGGATGCCGCTTGTTTTGGAAGTTTTTGTGGTGGTCGGCGATGCTGGGGATGTCGCAGGGAAAATGCTCCCATTTTTTGGGAGTATTTTTTGGAGCACTTTCTGCCACCGCAAGTCATGGTGGAGAAAGCGTGTGCAATTGTTAAGACGCCTTACATAAAGCATTGGCACGCTTTTTGGCCCGCGAGAGCCACAGACGAAAAGGTCAGACATGATAGGCAGCGTCGACGAAAAAGCGCGAAGAACACTACCCCCACCCCTTTCACATGGTCAAGGCCGTTTCTTGTTGACACCCGTTTTTGTCAACCCCTGGTTGACTAATCGGGGGTGTACTGGAAATACGGATCACTTTTCTGAGTGACACACAGACCCCCCCCCCCTCAGTCGCATGGGTTGATGAATCCGAGGTTTCAACGTTGGAAGTTTCGTGGAGCCTTCCAACCAAACGCACAAATCCGAGTGCTCAAAATCACAACTCAACTTGGGACGTTCATACCATAAAATCGTTTCCGGGGCGCCAGACTGGGGGGGAAGGAACTCCGGGAATGGACTGCCAAGTGGAGGGCCAAGGGCGTCCCAGTCCCGCTATGGGTTCTCAAGTGGAGGGCCCGGGTTCTTGGACTGAGCCACAAGAATCGTTCCCTCGAACCTGCGGAAGCCACGCGTGTTACTTGTGAAAAGCACCTGTTGGCTTCCCCGGGGAGTGTAGGAAACGGCGTGGCCTCATGACCATTTTCGTAGGGACTGGTGACTTTTGGGAGCGGTTGAGGACCTTAAGAGACAGAAACATCCCGGCTGGTTTTCACCGCAGCTCTTGAACTCACTGCAGTGACTTAGAAAGTCGGCAGGCCAGGGACCAGGGTCCAAAAACGGGACTTCAACCTCAGCTGAAATATGGCCATGGCTAAAATAGGCTCTAAAATGGGTGGTACACCTACCAACCAGAATGGGATGCCACTAGTTTTGACCCAGAGCCATATGGGTATGGGTCAAAATAAACCCAGGGGACCGCAGGTTTTAGTCTTTGGCTCCATTTCTCAGGGTGTTCCATTTTGGGTACGCATGTTGACCCACAGCCATACAGCAATGGCATTTTTCTGGCATGGAAGACATGGCCCCATGGCACGGCTTGGGCCGAACTCGCACAGAGAAGACGACGCTGTCTACATGTGAATTGTGAATCGGTCTCATTGTTGTGCTTGTGAATATGCTTGCTGTTGATGTGTTGCTGCTGTCCTTATTGTTTGGCCTTGTTCTTCTGCTTGTTCTTGTTCTCTTGCATTTGAGAGGCCTATGTTGCTGCTGCTACTGTTCTAAATGGGGTTCCCATTAAACAATGCCCCCGCAGCACTGGGGGGGCTATGTTGGTCGCACAACGGGCGGACGAAACACGAAGCCTCCCCTCCCGTCGGCGCCCTTCTGCCTGCTGCTCTAACTGCTCGTCGCACAGCACCATGACCTCAGCTCGGTTGCAAACTCTGATCCCCTGCTAAAAGTGATCAACTTCTAACGGTTTAACACGGCAAACCCGTGAGTTGGCAAAAACTCAAAGGCCTAATATCCCTTGGCAAAATGGACCAAAGACGGCATGGTGAGGAAGCTCCCGCCTTGCGTGAAACACCAGGCTCCTTCCCGAGGCTTCGAAGGAGGTTCCTGTATCACAAGTGGGACTCCCTAAGCTCGCATTCCCAAGACGGGAATGCCTCTGAAGGGGAAAGGAAGAGGTTGCTTAAACCCATGGGTGTTGGATGACATGGGGGGCTGCCTCGCGTTCGGAACCCCCCGGATAATTTTTTCCGGCGGCGGCCTCTTCTTTTTTTCCCCGTTTAAAGCAACCCCGAAAAGGGCAGCCTCCAATTGGAGAGGGAGGTGCTTTTTGTTTGGAGCGGCGCCGAAAAAGTTCCTTGAGGCCTAAAATAACACCCCTGAAATCCTACCCCGCACTTTTCAAGCTCGATAGGTTATAAAGAGTTCCGGGGTTGGATTTGAGGCTAGGCTTCAAGGATTGCTTTTCGCTGAGTTCGGCGCGAGCCCCAAATGGAAGGGGCCCCAGCTGGAAACATGCCTGGAGGATTTTGAATGATTTTGGCCGCATTTGGCCTTGGTACGGGTTGAGATTCCCCCGTTCTTCCACCGTTCTAGACACCACATTTCCCAGCTGGAGAGAAGGATCCCTGACGGCGACTAGATTTGGTGCCCTCACGAAAGTGAGAAGCTCCCTGAAGACTGGGTTCCCTATCGCTCACTCGCCTTACCGATGGCTTACATGGCAATTTGATTTGTGAGCTTCTCTCTGAGATGTGGGAAGAGTTTGATTCCAGGGAGAAGAATCCCAATCGAGGAGGCGAGAAAGAGTTTTGTGAGCGAAATCTGGGGGCTTCTCGAATTGGGGACCCCTCCAGGTGGTTTGTTTCCTTTTTGGTTCCCGTGAACACCATCACAGAAGGGGACCCCTATTTTGGGAAACACACCACGCAACAACATCAGAAATAATATGAATGGCTTGTACAAATCCCAACCCCGAAATGTGGCCATGGGTCAAAAGCCAAAGCCCGTACCCCCAGTGAACGTCCCAATCCAACCACTAAAATAAGTTTTAAAATGGGTCGTGAATTCACCTACCCCAACATGGGATCCCATTGGTTTGACCCGCAGCCATGTGCCTCGTTTTGCCCCTTGTCCAATCGGCGGATGTCTGGCAAGTGTGTCATGTTGACAAACAAATAATCTCTCTGCAGAATATGCACGATTTGTTACTTTGGACTCCATCTTCAGGTCTGGCACCTAACTTTGTTCCATCCCTTACGTGGCCAACATTCCATTTAGATGCTACTTGGGCTTGAAAAATGGCCAAATCGTTGCAAGACTTTGCCACTAGGCGGTACGCTGCTCGCCCTTTAGCTGTTGAGATGTCCATCTTGTACTTAGCAGCCACATCACCCTGCCAAGGGGAAACTCACGTTGGTCCAAAAGGTGACGCTTAACTCACTTCGTGAGAAGGTTGGCAAAAAACAGTCAAAGTTGATGGCCACTGAACATTTCCTTCCCAAAAGGTCGCAACTCAGACATGGTAAGCCTACAGCCAAGCATGAACATAGGACTTCAACCCATACAGGGCAATCGCATGTGCATGCTGACCGTCAAAAAGCAACCGCCGAAGCTTGTGTGGGGAAGTGGAGCACTGAATGAACAGAGCCTGCGAGGGTGTCCCTCAAAAACCGTCCGGATCCGCTCCAAAATGGGACATTCCATTTGACGATCGTCGCTTCGCTTGAAATCCTGGGTTCCTTTTTTTGGTCGGACTGGGGTAATCTGACCTGCAACTTTTAGAATACTTCCACCATCCGGGGAAATGGATCGATCCCCAAGTATAGAGCCTGAAAATTTCACGAGTTTTCTCAGGCAAAGGACCTTCCTCCCTGGTGTTCGCCACCGTTTCACCCCTTCCTCCAGCGAAATCGCTCCTGCAGATGAACCGTTGCAGATGGCCTTCACCCCCCACTAAGTGTACCTCTTGGCCGAAGAACCCCAAAACAAAAGAAAGGACATCCCGCTGAACTTTGAGAGACCGGCCATGGCCCCGTTTCAAAAAGGGGAGACCAACCAACGACTTCGGAGCCCAACCCACGGACCAGGCCCCGGGTCCCGGGCCCACTGCACCGGGGGCGCCGCCAGGTCGTCCAGGCCCCGGCAGTCCAAGTTGTTGCAGTTCGCCACCAGGCGCAAAGTCTCCAGGCAAATGAACCTCGAAGCTCGAAAACATCCAAAGAAAAAACGAGAGAAATTCAAAAAACGTCGCGTGCTTTGTGCCCCGGTGGAAAACTCCATGACAGGCCAAAAGACAAAGTTCGAATGCCCAGACGCTCCCGAACCTTCCAACGGAAGACCCAGACCCTCCATTGGACACGCCAGAGGGGGTTTGAGGTCTCAAAACCTGGCTGTTTGAGGGCCCAAAATCAATTGGGAGCGTCTGGGTGGAAGAAAAACGAGAAGTTCGCATCGTGGCGTTCCCTGGCTCTGTGACCCGGGGGAAAAACATCCATGAGAAACAAAAACAAAGTTCGAATCATTGCGCCCTGTTGTTTTTGGTCTTTTGAAGGGAACCCAGAAAATCCATGCGATTTCAGAGAAGGCGCCCTGATTTGTTTTGGTGCTTGAAGGGAACCCCGGACCAAGCGGCCGCGGAATTTTGGAAGCAAAGCCACCAACTTTTTGGTTAGCGTTTCTTGGCGGACTTGGCCCCGGAAGAAAGAAGCAAGGGAGAGATGTGCTTTTTTTTTGCCGAAGCGTGGCGAAAAGCGCCCAGCACGTGCCAGCGACCCTCGCCCTGCTTCAGACGTTCAGGCGTTCAGGGGGGACATTTTTGGGCCAGGCGGCCATCGGCTCCGCATCAACTTCTTGCCCTGGATCTCGAAGTTGTCCTTGAAGATCTGGCGAACACTCCTGGATCTGTCTCTTAGTAGGTACCCACTCAAATGCCTGGGGTGAGTTTTGTCATTTTGTCCTGTCCTCTGTGTGTCTTTGTTAAGCTTGGGGTGGCTGTGGTGTCCTGGGTGTGTCTTTGAGCTTGGACCCGCTCAAATGGCGGGCGGGGTTTCCTGCTGGTTTCCCTTGAGAAACTGCAAAGTGGCTCCAACCCCCAAAACAAGCCACACGCCGGCTGACAGCCCAAAGGACCGGGGTCACCGGTGTTCCCGGCTGAGGCATCACTTGTTTATGTCCACCCTTTACCCAGACCCGAGTGCATGTTCATGACAAAAGGGGGCTGTCCCCAGCCCTGGGCCATACTTGAAGGTTGATCCAAGCATACTTGGCGGTGCAAAGTTTTGAAAGGGCAAGGGTCACGGCTAGGCGTCTTTTTCGAGGGTACCTGGTTGTTGAACAGGGAAGCCAAAAGGAAACATGTTTTTTTTTTGGGGGGGGGTCCAAATCATATTTTGAGACAAACCCAAGTAAGCCGTTGGGGATATGTGTCACTGGGGAGTGTCAACTGAAAGCGGGAACCCCTTCTTGCATGATGTCAAAGGGAAGTACGAAACCCGTTGCCAGTTTCCGGGCACATCCATATTGTGAGACACACCCATGTGCTGTCTAATGTTTAAACCTGTGCGGAACGAATATCTTTGGGACATGCCCACGTGTTTCTCGTTTGCACACGTATTTTGTGGTAGCCCACCCATGTTTCTTGCTTGAAAGGCTCCTTCGTCGCGTGTGAAGGTGTGTGTTTTTCTGAACACCTCTTCTTTGCGGACACCCTTTTTCTGCCTTGTTTTTCTTCTTTGGACACATGGGTATTGCGGAAAACCGATGGTTCTTTGTGCGCTTCAACATGTCAGGGGGACAAGGTTGTTTGAAAACTCGCATATGCCCTGTCAAAACCACTTGTTCCCAAGAGAGGACATGGGAAGCAAACCCAAGGGACCGGAAACAAGCCCAAGCCCCAACCCTTCCCGAAACGGGTCCCCGAGAATCGTATTTACCTCTAGGGGACACTCACAAGAGGCGAATGCTTTTCTCAACCGCCGAAAAGGGAAAAGGAAAAAAGGGAGCTCCCCCAAGGCCAAACGAAAAGTTGTGAGAAAAAAGAGGCACCGCAACCCAACTGGGGTGTGTCGTTGTTTGGTGCCCGTGCACCCCAAAATGCCGCAAGGGTTTTGTTGCTTCTGGGTGTCCCTTTACCATCCAAGTTGGGTACCTCCACGACCCTGAAAAAATGGGATCCCGACACCCCTTGATTGTGGGTCATGACTCATGACCCACCATTTTGTAACAAGGGGTCAGCAAGAAAACTCGAGGTACCCCCAAAAAAAGAGACCAACAACTCGCCACACCCACCGGAAAACAAGCCAAAAACTCCAGGTACCCCCCAACAAAAAACAGGAAGCTCGCCACACCCAACAAAAAAAAAAACGCGCCGGGAGAAAAAAAAAAGAAGACAAAAAAGGGGGGGGGAAAAAAACGAGGCCCGCCGGAAAACCGGCCACGGGCCGCTCGAAGGCGATGGCAATCTCCTGCCCAGGTCGATCCGCATGGACTCCCGGTGCCCCGTGGAGGGGTTCTCCCGCACCGGGCCTGCCGAGCCGAGCGAGCCGAGGTCCGAGCCCCGTGGTGCGCAAGAAAATCACCCGCCAAACCGGAAAAAGGTTTGGCGAGAGGCGGGTGAAAAAGGTGAACCCCAAGTTCTCTTGGGCAGGGCCGTTTTTCTTGCTCCCTCTTTTTGAACCCACAAAAAGCGGTTGAATAAGCGGTGAGGAAACAAGTCCATTGGCCCCCAAGGTCCTTTGGGTTGGTTGCTTTTGGTTGTTCGATCCCTCGTTTTCGGGGCGTTTCTTTGGAGTCGGCACCCCGCTTTTCGAGGTAAAGGAAGCCAATAGGAAGACCGACATCCATTGTGGGGGTCCCTGCAAAGAGAACCCCCAGGTATGGTATTTCAACCAAAAAATCGTCGGTTTCCCTTTGGCTTCCTTTTCAGCCACCCCAAACAAATGCAACAACTCAAATTGAGCTGAGCGTGCAACTCGAACATTCAGAAGGCCGCGAGGGTGGAAGATATTCTTGGGCATGTCCAGGAGACCACTCAAACTGAACGCGCTCAAAACTCACTACTGGCCCAAACAGGGCGGTGTTTGAACTTGGAGAAATAAAGGTCTCTCTTCTTTGGGGGACCCCCAATAATGGTGGCGTTCCTTTGTTTCCCTTGAACACCCACGAAAAAGGACGGGTAGCAACTCTAACATCCACGAGCCACCCATTTCGTTGCGGGGTTGGAAGTGCCCCTCGCTCCGACCCACAAAGCGCGAAGCGCCTGCGGTGATGTGAAGCTCCGGGGCTTCCGCGCGCAGCAGAAGCTCGAACTCCAAGTACTCCCGGGGCCCTGCGCTTTCGCTTTTGGCGAACGTGGCAAAAGCGAAAACGCGCGCGAAAGAAGCGGGGATTAGTAATTAGGCCTTTTTTCCCGAGAAGAGGAGGTCTCCTTGGATTGCCGAGAAACAAAGATCGACACGCCCGGCTAAAAAAGTCCAAGCTCGGAAAAATACAAGATGTGTCAAAGATATCATAGAAACTTTCCGTTTGGACCCCCCAAACACACCACCAGCCCAAACACGCCCCCTAAAACAGGCTGTAACATGGTTTATCTCAATTTTTTCAAGGGGGTGTGTTTGGCCGAAAGGAAGGGGTGGTTGGGGGGTGCCCTTCAGGGGGGGGGGGGGGAAATACTGTTGGCCCCTGATTCACAAACCCCCGGATATATCAGGGGTCCCGGTCCTTCCGGAAGAAAGGAGGTTGGAAACCACTAAACAGGGACCCCCCTTAATCACATGTGCGGGGGGGGGGGGGTTAATCAGGGGTCGGCATTACGGGCACCCCATGCTGAAGGGAAGCTGAAGAAATTTACAGTAGAGGGAAGCTGAACCTCCCTTGCTTGAAGGGGCAGGATTTGTCAGGTAAGTGGATAGTAACCATGGGCAAGGAACCAACCAAAGCCGTGGTTGCAAATCCCCGTTCAGTGGGTTATAACCATGATCACTGTTGGGGCCTATTTTGGGGTGGCGTTTGTTTTCGGTTCCCGTTAAACCCCACCGTTGAAAGGGTACCTTTACAAAAACCACCACTTTCCATAGCAGAGTTGTGGGAAGTGTCCATTTCTGTGCCGGCACACTGGGTTCCAGACCGACGAACCCTCGCTAAAACCAGCAAATTGTGGGTTCTGGTGGGCTAAGCTTTGAACATGTGGATCTAACTCCAAAGCTGCTGCACCTGAGTCTGCCTCTTTGGAGGCTACCAGTTTCAGGTTTGGGGTCTGAATCCCTTTGCACGGGGTTGGCTCTACCAAAACACAACCAAAACTGCCAGGATCTTGTCTCATATAAATCAGGACGCCAACATGGGTGTGTCACTTGTGGATTCCCTTAACCACCCAAAAAGGGTAATTACCCTAAAAGAAGAGAAGGAGCCATATGGTGTAACCACCCACATGGCCACATGGAGATGTTGCGAGAGAAAGAAATCAACTGTGATACTTCGCCCTGTTTTTTGGGCGGCGTCCCATCCCAGCCGCGGACACCTAAACCTCAAGCCGAGGATATCGGCCTCATCTAAGGGTTGCAACACAAATAATTTAAACAAGTGTCTCTTAGGGACTCTCTCCCCCGAAACTATGGTTTCCTTTGGTGTTCCAACAAAAAGAGTACCCTCAAAAAACAAGACACACCCTAATAATTCAAATCATGATTCTTCCATGAGGAAACTTGGCTTAAAAATTCCACAATCCCATTGTCGAACGGCCCCGAAAACACAAAAGGCATGGAAATTGGTGGACGATTTGCAGATCCGGAATTGCTCCCAGAGTGCCCCCCGAAATCTGCACTACCAAAGTGGTTGATTCCCGTGACCACTTTGTCACGAGAATTCCCTCCGCTCACAGAAAGTGGGGAGTCCCTAAAACCAGAGGTTCATGTCCCCAATTTCACTTCTGGGGGGATTGGCTCACGGAACCCGGTGTCCATTTCCCGCAGCCGCGCGTGCCTTCGACCCGGGACCGAAACCACGAAGGAAAGCGCCGACTCAGGGGACCACCGGAGCGCTTCGCGGCCGCTTTGGAACCAGAGGGAACCAACCCGTCAAAAACGTCCGGTGCCAGCTGGAGACAAAAAGCTGGCCAAAGAAACTCCAGGAAGCGCGAGGAAACCAAGAATATGGGAAGCCAAACAAAACCAAAGGAGGCTAAACGAAAGCAAACGAAACCAAAGGAAACCAAAGGAAACCAAAGGAAGCCAAAAAAAACAAAGGAAGCCAAACAAAACCAAAGGAAACCCAAGGAAACAAAAGGAAACCAAAGGAAACCATAGGAAACCAAACAAAACCAAAGGAAACCCAAGGAAACCCAAGGAAACCAAAGGAAACTAAAGGAAACCAAAGGAAACTAAAGGCAACCAAAGGAAACCAAACAAAACCAAAGGAAACCAAACAAAACCAAAGGAAACCAAAGGAAACCAAACAAAACCAAAGGAAACCCAAGGAAACTTAAGGAAACCGAGAAAATGGGAAAACCAAAAAGAATCCGATTTCAGACACCACACCCCAGATCCAAATATGTCTTTCAGCCTCGTCCCAAAGGGTCCACCTCCTGCGGCAAGGCCTGGTAGCCCTCGGATTTTGGATCGGCGCAGTTCAACCGGAAACGCTGAAGCACCCCAGGCTGTGGTTGAAATGGAATCCACTTCTCTACAACAAAAAGGGCTAGTTACTGAGATACCCCAGCAGTGCTTAACTGAGTAACCCAGTCTTGGCGGGGTCACACGTGCCCACCTTGACGGGTTCCCCATTGACTCAAAGAGTGATGGCGGGGGCTTTGGGAGCTTTGGGTCTCCTTGAACAAAATGGAGCCGGTTTTTTGGAACCCTCGTGGTGTGTTTACAAGAAAGAAACGGTTGTCTTTGAATAAGAGCCCTTTTGGCGTAAAGGGAAACCCTTTTGATGTTTGATGCCTTTTCTTTGTTTGGTGTGCTTCAAGAAAAGCCTTCTGTTCGAAGGAACACACTTCATTGCATTTGATTCCGGAAGAACTCTTGGAAGTGTAGGCAATCCAAACGATTTCACAAATGTGACTCTTGGGAGGGTTTTCAACAGAAGCCAAGCGGAAGCGTGGCATTCAACAGGACTCGGGCCTTTCAAGGTGGCTCTTGGGATATTGGGAAACCGATTCTGGGCTCAGAGCGGGCCGGTCAAAATGCGTTGGATCGGGCTTCCCTAATCCCAGGGCCGTACCGGAGATCGCCCAGCGCGGAAGCTGGTCTTGTTCCCCTTGCAACAGGAAAGGATTCAGGATCTGGGTGAGAAAGGGGCGATCCAGCTGGGAAGCGCCGGGCCCGCAACGGACTTCCGGTTAGGATAGAGCGGATAGTACGATCATCCCCGTAGTTGCCATCTGTCTGTCTAGCTTTCATCAATTCAGTACCTAGATGAGGGGGTGATGAAAGTAATCCGTTATTTTTTCGACTTACCAGGAAGTGTGTGATTCTCTTCTAGATGGCTGTCATCAGACTTGTCTGAACGCACCGCTCTCTTTTGCTCTCCGTGTCTTGTTTTCATGCTTCAACCCGCAAAATGAAGGACGTAGAGTATATAAACCGGTGCAGGACATATCGCCAGTAGTCTCACAGCATACCCACGCTGACAAATATGAAAGGGTAGGACTGCTTCAAAGGACACAATGAGTCTAAGCACTCCGCAAAGCAGTAAAGCGGTTTCAAATGGAGCCGGTAGCCTTTGAACTGCTCCTCAAGTACCTGTAAAGTTTCCCAAACATTTTGTCTGCACCTTAGGCATAGATGACATAGATGGGAAACAATTGTATTCATTCCAGGGGTTTTAGGTGGTGCAGGATTTTGTCCATCCACAGTATTGGACGAGTCAGACACGCCGCAAGGCTCGGTGATGCCTCCCCGTCAAGAAGCTGGACTTGTTGCGATTTCGTGGGCTCCCGAGAGATGTCAGTCTACAAATACACAAAAATAAGAGCCAGGAATGGGGTCTGAGTTCTGTCTCACCTTCTAGTCCAAACATTTGAGCGCGCTCTTTCCATATCCTAGTTGAAATCCCCTGTGCTTCCTCAGGCAATTTACCCCTAAGTGTCCGCGTGGGATATAACCAGGGTCGCAAACCACCTAAGCTTGGTTGCTGTTGACCCGCCTGCAGAAAGTGTCACTTTTTGGGGGGTGTAGTGGAAAACCCAGCTTATTTCCCAAAAAGCTAAAGTCTAAAGATCCAACCCAATAGCAGTCAAGTAGGGATATAACCAAGGTCGCAAACCACCTAAGTAGACTTCTGTTTTTCAGAGACCGCCCTCCATCCGAATTTATTTCAAGGCACCTCCGGCACCTTCTCTTCCGGGATGATGTGCATGGACAGGAGGCCGGTGGTATACCTGGCACCGCCTCATGTGACCTGCATGTCCTAGTGGCAGAAAAAAGGTTGAATCCATTTCTTTTGGAGATATAAAAAGATTGAATATATTTCTGTTGGAGATATATACATGGTGCTACATGGCAGTCCTTTGTGAGAAGCCAACAAGAACGATTGGACGGTTTGGACATACTGTGAATGGACAAAATCCATGTCACACCACTTGGAAAACAAGGTTTGTTGGTATGTACAGGGGAATCAAATCATTCCACGGGTTCTTAGGTGGTGAAGGATTTCGTCCATCCACGGTATATACATGGTAGTCCTTTGTGAGAAGCCATGTGTGAGTGTGCTAACATAGGGGAAGCCCACAATCTGTCGAAAAATGAGGTAGCCAATCTCGTCTAGTAGCGAATGCAAACCTTTTTCTTCTGGTGGCAAACCTTCAGAGACAAAAGGACCTGTTGCGGGGTCTTAAAAAAGTCCCGAAAGATCGGTGTGTTTCCGTTGGGTTTCCCTTTAAGTATCAAAAAGGGGTCCGCCATTTTGAGAAACGTCCCATTTCAAGAACCCCGCGCTTGCCCGAACCAAGCCCACCACCATCACCACCTTGTCCAAAAGCGAGAATGTCACTTCCTACCTCTTCGAATTGTTGCTGGTGCGATAGGCAGGGAACGAGAAATGCAACGACTCTTATAAACCATCCAACTGGTGGTTTCCTTTAAGGGGACCCAAGCCCGGGTTCATTCCCACTGTCCCCCCTCGCAGCAAGGTGTTGAGCACCCTCTTCAGATGTGCTTACAGGAAAACCGGAAGGAACATCTCCACCGGAGCCTCCTGGCCTCCATGGTCAGAGTCGGCAACCCTTGGCGTCCCTTCAAAAGTCCTGAATTGTGTCTTATTTACAAATAAAAACAAAATACGTTGTTGTAACCTACATTATAACCCTTTTTTTAATAGAGTTAATCACACCAATGAAGTTGGCAGTTATAGTGAAAAGAATTCGTCGCTCGGCGGAGTCGGCAAAAGGCCGTTTGATGGGTGTCCCTTCAATAGCAGTCCCGAGATAGGTGTCCCTCCAAAAAATCGCCGGAGCCGTTCGTGTCTGAAAGGCACGCACACTGTTGGGTGTGTCTTTTCCAGCTTGGGCCTCAAACAAATTCTCGCAGCTGCCTTCCTTTTGGTGTCCTTTACCGCCCGCACAAAAAGGGATACCAACTAAAAAAAATACCGATCCCCGCCTTTTCCCCGTTTTTCTGTGTTTTATTTGCTTCTCCTTTTGGTGTTCCAAGGCTGGTTCCCTTGAGTACCTATGCTCCAGGCCTTTTGCCCTGAACCAAACTTACCAACCACCCGCGACCGCCGACCACCAACCACCCCCCCCGCCTGGGCTTGGCCTTCCGGTGGGTGAAGGCCACGATCCAATGCTCCGGCGACACAACGCGGCCTGCGGAGCCGAGACGGCGAGGCGCCGAGGCGGCGAGGCGCCGAGGCGGCGAGACGGCGGCGGCGTTTGGGGCAAGTGGTTCCTTCGGTTTTTGGAGTTGGGATAACAAATAATCCCATTTAATAATTGATCATTTGTCCAGGTCCAGAGAGGTTAGAATAAGGGTACCCGACTTTTTTCAGTAGTCTATTTTAGTAGGGGAACCCTCCCCCGAAAAAGGGTGAGAAAGGTCATTACTGGGGGACCTAGTTGTTGTTGCCCAGATGCCTTCTTGGCAGTGAGAAAAAGCTGGGACCAAACAGCGGGTCTGAAGGCGCAACAAACAGGAACGGAGCAACCCCAAAGGGAAAAAAAAGGAGAACAAAAACAGAACAAACCCCAAAAGGGTTGGAAAAAAGAATTTATGTGTTTTTGTGTTTTTTTTTGTGTTAAAAAAAAAGGACTGCGAAAAGCCGCCGCTTTCCGAGCCCGGGATGCCTTCGTCAAAACCCGTCCAAAACGGCCCCTTCTGAAGGTGTCTGCAAAGCGGACGCATGCCATATGTCTGCAAATGGGCATCACTTCGCACCGGGCGGTGGACTTCGAACCGGGCGGAATTCCGGGGGTGTCTGGATCCCTGGCGCGAAATAGATTTTCGTCCAGCGAGTGCAGTGAGCGCAGTGGGCCCCCCACAAATTCTGAGAGGGGAAGCAAGGAAATCAACCAGGAGGTGGTCGGCGGAGCTCGATGACAACCCCATGTCCAGGAAATCAAAGGATCCAGGGTTCTACTGTTTGACCGCAGACTGAAACCCGGTGGTCCATTCCCCCAAAGAGCAAGGATCCTTTGTCGACGATTCTCCGCGTCGATCTCGCCACAACATTTTTGCTCGTGCTCCTCCAGAACTTGGCCCGTGTCTTGGTTGCTGTAGACCCCCCTGCAAAAAGTTGACCACCTTTTGGGGGATTTAGTGGGAAAAAACCATTGATTTCAACCAAAGAGCTAAAGTCTAAAGATCCGTTGCCCCATAGCAGCCCAAGGCTCGTGAGTCAATCCAAACCCCGTGGCCGGGAGCGCGCCCCCGCCTGACTCCTCCATCCGCACATCGAAATGAACGTAGCCGTCGGCCTTGCCACGTTTGACCCGAGCTGCCGATGAACGCCGACCCTCCTGTCCAACGTACCCGACGTTTCGGATTTCGGGGCGCAAAACGATGTTTCCCTTCACAGACCCGGTGGGTTCCATCTTGACGGGAGGGTCACACTCCAAGGCACACGAAAACTCCCGGGAACAAAGACAAGGCGTCCAAGGGCACATGCGCAGGCCAGACCATGTTTACAAGCCCGCAGCCGCAGTCCGAAGCTAAAGCTTGCCAAAACGTTCTCAGCACAGCCAAGCTGGTTGGGTCCAACAACTCCGTGCATTTCTCCAGTCAAGAAAACACAACATTTCCTCATAATGCTATCTGACACTCCTCCTGCAAGCCTGAACATATTGCTCTTCAAGCAACCTCTTGCGAGCTATCTTGGTGCGAAGCCAGCCGCAAAAGCGGATGCTTTTGACAAAACCTGCCAACGCGCCCGGCCAAGGCGAGGCGTGTGACAAGGCGAGGCGTCAGCACGCTGAAGCTCACGCTCGTCCTGGCCTGAAAACATCCCGTAAGCGACCCGGAGCCAGCTGCTAGACCTGCGTCCAATTCTAAGCCAACACGCGTCCGCCAAAGCATCTCGGGCCGGAAAGTTTCGGCCCTGCTGCAATTGATGGCTTCCAGCTCAGAAGGCGTGAGATGCTCAGGCCAGCACTGTCTACCAGCCGCAGTTCGAAGGCTCAAGCCTACGACATTCTGAGCATGGCCAACGGCGTTGCTCAAGTCAACACCCTCTAGCGGCCAAGACGCGATCTTCGGCTGGTGTTCTTAACCCTTGCCATATGGTTCACCCGAGAGATGCTGCCAGCCGCGCAGTTCGACGATTGTGAATGCCTCTGGCGGGTTGCCGACACAAGATCTCAAGGCTGCAAGGTGCTGAGGTCACTGAGTGGCAGAGTTACTCCTTCGGCCGTTCCAGGTGAATGGGCACATCAGTGCAGCCCAGGCTGCGGGCAACGATGTTTGGAACACCTGTGCACATGGTTAAGAAAAGGAAAAGAACGTGTCTCGTTTCACTTCGACATGGGATCCATACCGCTGCATGTCAGGGTATGTCTGGATGGCAAAGGCCAATACTGGTGCATCGGCTTGAGCCAAGCCTGGACCAGGATCGCTGTTGCTGTGCCTTGCGCCTTGCTTGCTCAAGGGAATGCCCAAATCTGGACTTTTGTTCGAGAAACCCTTCAAAGAGTACAACCCTGTCCACGTTGCCATGAACGCCACCAGAGAAGTTCATCATCTTCCAGGAGCCAGTCAGCAGCGACCGTTTAGCCATATCCTGAAACCCCCTGGCCATGATCCAACGACTTCCCCGACTGACGGTTTGCCCCGGACAAACACTGCAAGTTGCGCGAAGTTGCCTGCCTAAATGAACCAATGGGCAAACAAATGAATGTCTTGATTGGAACACACAAGCTCTTTGGCCTCAGTTCATCTGCGTTTGCAAAACCTTGCCATCTGCCCAGGTGAGACCCAAAAAGAAGGGAAGGGTCCGGAAGGGTTCCGAATGATCCCTCATGGGAACTGGCCGAGGAAGTATATACTGTCACCCGTGCGCTGTGGCTTGGACCCTTCCCCGCCCCCCGCCCCCCCCCCGAATACGCGATCCAAGAAGCGTCCTAAATCCCAGTCGATGACCTGAACAATGGGAATCCAATGCAACACTCCCTTGGCGAATTCATTCGGGGATCCAGTTTCGCCCTTTTTGGGACATCCCCTTAATGCCACCACTCCGGGGTCGACGCTGGTGACCCTCGATTCGATGAAAGCCCCTCATTACTGTCTTGGTACCTTGGAGCCACGGTGAAATTATGTTGGCCCAAAGGACAACAGTTAAAAGTCTCTCCAAATTATGCGGTTTGCTCCCTAAAAACGAGAGACCTACCAAGACAATGGCTGAAAGTCTCTCCCAGAAACAATTACGGAACCGAAAAAAGGGACCGTCTGGCAAGGGACATATTTCAGATTCACGGTTTGTTTTTTCTCAAAGGGAAGTACATTCGAGAAACATTCATGCGGTTTCGGGAAGGTGGTCAGGCCCCCGGAAAATCTCAAACCCGGAAAATACGTCCAAAAACCGGTTATTCCCTGTACAAGGATTTGGATACTCGGTATTTGGGGGTGTCTTTTTCTTCTGGCCCAAATGTAGCCTTTAAGGACCCTGTGTTGAGAAGCACCCGTCCAAACGCGGAGGCTCCATTTCGAAGAGGAAAGTAGCCTTCAAGCACCAGGGCTCTGTCACTGTGCACTTTCCCTCTAAGTGGTGGTTTGGTGGTGAAGGGGTGGCTTCGCATTTGCCCTCCACAAGAACAAGGGGTTCAAATTCAAATCCACAAACCATCAATCCAAACCGCCAATTAAGGGGCACCTGAGTGTTTGTTGTTGGGTGGAAAACACGCTTAGTTGGGTAGTGGGAAGCGCACATCCCTTTCTCAGCAAAAAGTGATCACAGCGCTCTTGTAATCACCGCAGTGCATAAAGTGAGACGACTGATCATGCCTCATCAGCGTCTACCTGGGTGTTCGTTGAGAGCAACAAGTTCTTGGCTCAGCTGTTGCCCACAATCATCAAAGGCGAGCCAGCATACGAAAGCTCCAAAACTCCCTCACTCCCTCACTCCCTCACTCTCTCCCTCACTCGCTCGCTCGCTTTCGCTTTTCTGCGCGTTCTCTGTCCAGCCGAGGGAAACAATCTGGTGCAAACTGCAAGAATATTGCGGCTGCTGGATGGATTTTCCAGGGCAAGCACGAGCTCGCCTCCAACTCCGGTGCCGCTTCTCCGGGAGAAGCGGCGTCTCTGGCGTCGAGGTAGCGGCTGTCAGCTTGCGCACGCAAGCTGTCAGCTTGCGCACGCAGGCGCTCTAAGGAACAAGGACAAGAAAGGCTGCCTTTCGAAGCCAAGCAAACGGCATCAATGTGTGGAGTGTGACTTTGCAACACCCACCATGCTCATATCAAACTGGGGCTTGTTCATTGATATTTGGAGTTTAGAGTTGCACACTTTGCGGACAGACCCATCTCTGATTATAGGTGGTCATGGGTGGCAGTCCATCGTGGGCGAGTGAAGCAATCGGTTTTCCTCGCCGCCTCATGTGGCTAAACGCTCTGTGTCTCTCCACTTTGCTTTCGCCAGGAGTCACTCCAAGCAGGGTGTTGTTGTTTGCATCTGCGCAAGGATGATGACAAGCGCGTGCCGCATGCAGAGCGTATAAGGCTTTGCATGACATGAAAGCGAGGGACAATTAACCCTTGAACATGCGAGAGAGATAGGATAAGGTGGTCCATTCCGTCTCTGGGAGATAAGTGACGAGGTTAATAATTCAGTGTCACCGATTTCCCCTCCATTAGCAAGATTGTTAGGTGGTGAATGGACGGGAGAAGAGGCGAACCACGCGATGTGCCTTTTGATGGCCCGTGAGTTTGCGCTGTGTTTGGCTTGCTAAGGCTGGTGACGTAATCCGAGCCCAAGCTACCTTGCAACAACGCCAGCCCTCGCCTCTTCTCCCGTCCATTCACCTAACAATCTTTGCTAATGGACGGGAATCCCAGAGACGGAATGGACCACCTCATATCCTATCTCTCTCGAAACTTCAAGGGTTCATTGTCCCTCGCTTTCATATCATGAGCCTTAGAATATATGGGTACGCTCTGCGTGCGGCTCGCACTTGTCAACATCCTTGCGCAGATGCAAACAACCCCCCGCTTGGAGTGACTCCTGGCGAACGCACGGCGAGGACAACCGATTGAACTGGTGGGCTTCAAACTGCGCGATGTGCCTGTTGACGGCCCGTGAGTTTGCACGGTCTTTGGGCGCTAGCTAAGGCTGGTGATGTAGTCTGACCCTCCTCCTGCAAGCTTGAACATATCCCATTCGAAGCTACCTTGACGCAACAACGCGGGGCACTGAAGCAAATGCTAGCCCACGACTGCGTGTTCGAATTAAATCTCATGTGTGCCAGAGTTTTGCAAGGGCCTTGCATTGGCGTCCCGACCTTGAACTCCAAGAGCCAATTCGGCAAGCGATGCTCAAAATGTTCAGAAGGTGCTTGATGCTCCTAGCAGCCAAAACAAACCTCAGTGCAAGTGCAAGCTGCGCCTTAGAAAAAGAGTAAACGCGCGAGTGCAAAAGAAAAGCAACGCCGGCCACTGAAGCAAATGGTAGACCACGGCTGTGTCTTCGAATTTAAATCGGAAGCCTTGTTAGCACTTCCACTGACAAAGAAAATTGCATGTCATGAAACCTAACATTTGGAATGCTTCAATGCGAGCTTGGAATTCCCTATTGGTTGTCTAGCTTTTGAATCAGACACGAAATTGGGACGCAAAGCGATTGGGCCCTCACTTTACCCAGGACCCCCAAGAGTTAACTTACTCCGTTTGGATGCCAACTTTAGAAGGGATCAGATATTGCAGGTTGATGGCCGTTTGAAAGAGCAGTCCCACAAATGGTGTGGTTGCGTCGGAAATGTGTTAACTATAGCTATCAGCACAGAAGTGCTCTGGTCTTGGGGAGCACTCTGGCATACAGCCTCATGAGCCTATGGCAAGCAGATTCCGCGGCACGGCTAAGTCTCTGTGACATGTCCACATCTGCTTCATGTAAATCTCATTTGTGGCAGCGTTGGTAGTATTGGGGCCTTGCATACGTCTCGACCTTCGCCCACACAAACCAGCAAATCGCGGCTGCAGCCTGGAGAGCAGCATGGGAGACGTTGCGCCAACTGCCCTTAGTACATGTCCCGCGATTCCCGCGGCTTGCACTTGCCACATTTGGCATTGTCAGGGGGAGTCAAAAGGAGGATGTGCACCGGTAGCGATGCCTGAAACGTTCTGAAGGAGGAGCTATGCAGAAGCATGGTGCAAGGGTCGTTCTAGGGAAATTCTTCTGGCTTGTTGCCCTTGAAAGCGACATCCACGCGGCCCCTTTGAGGAAACACGCGCTTGCGCCGTGTACAGGCCCCAGGCTCTACCAGCTACAGGCTCTCGGTGCAACCATCAAAGAGGCAGTTGATAAGACTTGGGTAACAGGTCAGGCGGCGGATCTAGCGGCGCGATTCAGCATTCTCGGACGTATGGAACACGCCCGAGCCGTATTTCTCAAAGGCGTCAGCCAACGCGGGCTCCCGCACTGACTATGTCGGCCTGAGAGAAACGATGCTCACGTCCAAGCAGAGTGCGAGACTCATCCGGCTCCAAGAGTCAACTCGGCAAGCGACGCTCAAAATGTTCAGGAGGTTTTTATAGCGGGGGCTGGGAAGGGCAGCAAACGCAAAAGGCCCGCGCACGTGCGCAAGCCAGGAGCACTGCGTCTGCCAACCGCAGCAGCATCAGTCTCGAGCTGCAACTTGCCACAAAGTTCCGGTTGGGTCCAAGCGCTCTGTGCTTTGCTCAAGTCAAAGCCACGTGATGCTCACTCATGATGCCATCTAACGCTACTACTCCTAGCTGCCAAACCAAACCTCACTGCAAGTGGCCTTAAGAAAAGAGCAAACGCGCGAGTGCTGAGGATAGTCTCAGTCTTGAGACGCAGGCTCCACAAAGCATAGCGTGAAACTCGCATGGCCAAAACCTGACAAAGCTCTGGGCACAGCCAGGTCAGCTGGCTTCAACAGCAGTTACTGATGGCAAGTCATTCCAAATCACTACCAGCCAAGCAGCGACTGCGCAATCTCATTTCAAGTTGCAGCTTACCCAGAACGCAACCTGCTGCGACTAGGCCAGATGCTAGACCAGCCGTCATTGAGTTGACCCTAACACACGCTCATTGCTTCAAACGCCGATTGCTTCAAAAGGCTTGGGAAGTTACGGCCTTATCCATATCTTACATTTTGCCCCGCCCAACCCCCCCCCCCCCCCCGGCTCCCCTGAAAACGTGTCACCTGCTGACGGACCCCAACATGTCTCAGCCCATTTTCGCAACAGCATGCCTGGAGCAGGCTGCCAAGCCCTGCATGGGCGGCAACCTCAAGGGAGGGCAGGTGGGTTTTCTGTCACAAGGCGGTTCTTTTGCGGCCTCTCTTTGGAGCGACGCCACGCATAAGCTGAGGCATGCGTGAGCAAGGCAAGGTTTGGCACAAGCGCTTGGTGGTCCGTCACTAAGGGGTGGGGATGGTGTGAGCACGTGCGTAGGCCAGCATTTCTGTGTCTAGAAGGCGCAACAGCATGAAGCTTGCCAAGGAAATCTGAGCACAGCCAAGCTGGTTGGGTCCGACGGCTCCGTGCTTTGCTCAAAACAAGTCAACACGTCACTGCTCGGAATGCCTCCTACCGACCTTGC